ATAATTAGATTGGGTTGGATATGAACATGATTTGGTGTTGGATATTATATATCGTGGAACGTAGATTCTAAAAAAAAAACTACTGTAGCAGAGGAACCTAGATGGAATTTCATCTAGGTTGCTACAATAGCAACCTAGATGGATTTTCGTCTAGGTCACCAACCTAGACGAATTTCTTACTTCCGTCTAGGTTAACAATCTTGACGAAATTTTATCTAGTTTGCCCCAACCTAGACAGAATCAGATTAGACAAAAAATTAGATGGATTTTCGTCTAGGTGTACCAACTTAGACGGGAAATGAAGCAATCTAGACGGAAATTTCCGTCTAGGTTGCTCATTTTTCTACTAGTGACTCTCGTGTTTTACAACTTATGCGATTGAATACTCTAAACTTAGTGAAAAAAGGCCATGGGTACTGAATATCAGGGGTAGACTAGATAGGTGACTGCATGATGGTCAAATATCATTGCCTTTCGCAGAGAGATGTGAGATAGATATGGATATCCATATATATATATTCATATGCGCTAGATTATAAATATGGATATCAATATCTGCATCCGATATATAGAATATATGAATATGGACAAGGATATATATGTAAAATACTTAGATTCACATCCAACTTTTTAATTGATCACACATTTGAAATGTTTTGGCAGCCATTTCATTAATAGACACGAGGCCAGTTTTGATAGCCTAGAGAACCAATCTTTTAACTTCTCAAATATTCAAACTTCTACGGGCTTAATTTCATTAGAAAACTTTATTAATATTTTTATGACATACGACCATTAATCTTTTCCTCGTACCCTTTTAATTTGTATCCGTACACCCAACCCGTATCAATATTCCATTTAATCTGACAGATGCGGCCGGATACAAAAGCTATATTTGCTAAAACTTGCTCACGCTCTTACTTATATATGCTAAGAAAAACACTACAGACACATCCCCAATCACACCTTGGGGCACACCCCCTCTTTCAGCTATAGTGCACGGGGTCCATTTTAGATTTTTTTTTAAAAATCTAAAATGAGCCCCGTGCACTGTAGCTGAGAGAGGAGTTGTGTGCCTCAAGGTGTGGTTAAGAGTGTGCCTCACTCATATGATAATTAGAACCGTATCTGATCAATTTGCAGCCGTAGTTCTACGTGATACTCTTCTACGCACAGGTCCCTCTATTGGAAATTTTTGTTTTCCTCCAAAACTCACAAGATTTCATGAAGCCAAAAAAAAAAAAAACCTAGAAAGAAAGTAACAATAAAGGTAGTGGTCCACGTATAATCGTACTGACAGCTCTGAATAAAGCTCCTGCATTTCACTGTTGCACTAGTAGAAGACTTGAGAGAGAGAGAGAGCAGCTGCTAGAACAGTGAGTAATCAGGGGCAATAAAGAGCCCAGTGGCTGCAGCAAACAGAGGCAACGAGGGGGGGCAGGCTAGCTAAGCCACAGATTCTGCCCACTCAATTGGATAGATATATAATCAGAAACTGTCACTTTCTCTCTCTTGTCTTCACTCCACTTGTGAAAAAGGAAAAAAAAAAAAACAAAACCTAATAAGCTAGTTTTACTACTAGTGGGGCCCCCTTTTGTCTGCTGCCCCTCGCCTCCCTTCTGAATTTGACCAGACTGTGGTGTGTTTCGAGCTGATCTTTGCCCCTATTGCTTCCAATTGGGCGCAGGCCCGTTAGATATATTTTAGAATGCTAGGGTTTAAAAGGCTGCATTAATGAAGCGTGTCATTAAGTAGGGGGGGTCCAAAAAATTAGATGGATTTTCGTCTAGGTGTACCAACTTAGACGGGAAATGAAGCAATCTAGACGGAAATTTCCGTCTAGGTTGCTCATTTTTCTACTAGTGACTCTCGTGTTTTACAACTTATGCGATTGAATACTCTAAACTTAGTGAAAAAAGGCCATGGGTACTGAATATCAGGGGTAGACTAGATAGGTGACTGCATGATGGTCAAATATCATTGCCTTTCGCAGAGAGATGTGAGATAGATATGGATATCCATATATATATATTCATATGCGCTAGATTATAAATATGGATATCAATATCTGCATCCGATATATAGAATATATGAATATGGACAAGGATATATATGTAAAATACTTAGATTCACATCCAACTTTTTAATTGATCACACATTTGAAATGTTTTGGCAGCCATTTCATTAATAGACACGAGGCCAGTTTTGATAGCCTAGAGAACCAATCTTTTAACTTCTCAAATATTCAAACTTCTACGGGCTTAATTTCATTAGAAAACTTTATTAATATTTTTATGACATACGACCATTAATCTTTTCCTCGTACCCTTTTAATTTGTATCCGTACACCCAACCCGTATCAATATTCCATTTAATCTGACAGATGCGGCCGGATACAAAAGCTATATTTGCTAAAACTTGCTCACGCTCTTACTTATATATGCTAAGAAAAACACTACAGACACATCCCCAATCACACCTTGGGGCACACCCCCTCTTTCAGCTATAGTGCACGGGGTCCATTTTAGATTTTTTTTTAAAAATCTAAAATGAGCCCCGTGCACTGTAGCTGAGAGAGGAGTTGTGTGCCTCAAGGTGTGGTTAAGAGTGTGCCTCACTCATATGATAATTAGAACCGTATCTGATCAATTTGCAGCCGTAGTTCTACGTGATACTCTTCTACGCACAGGTCCCTCTATTGGAAATTTTTGTTTTCCTCCAAAACTCACAAGATTTCATGAAGCCAAAAAAAAAAAAACCTAGAAAGAAAGTAACAATAAAGGTAGTGGTCCACGTATAATCGTACTGACAGCTCTGAATAAAGCTCCTGCATTTCACTGTTGCACTAGTAGAAGACTTGAGAGAGAGAGAGAGCAGCTGCTAGAACAGTGAGTAATCAGGGGCAATAAAGAGCCCAGTGGCTGCAGCAAACAGAGGCAACGAGGGGGGGCAGGCTAGCTAAGCCACAGATTCTGCCCACTCAATTGGATAGATATATAATCAGAAACTGTCACTTTCTCTCTCTTGTCTTCACTCCACTTGTGAAAAAGGAAAAAAAAAAAAACAAAACCTAATAAGCTAGTTTTACTACTAGTGGGGCCCCCTTTTGTCTGCTGCCCCTCGCCTCCCTTCTGAATTTGACCAGACTGTGGTGTGTTTCGAGCTGATCTTTGCCCCTATTGCTTCCAATTGGGCGCAGGCCCGTTAGATATATTTTAGAATGCTAGGGTTTAAAAGGCTGCATTAATGAAGCGTGTCATTAAGTAGGGGGGGTCCATTAATCGTTCCTTCATTCATTCTTGGGCCTTTGCTAATTGATTAGCTGCAACGAAGTAAATGCATCCTTCCGCTGAGTTCTAAAAGAAAGCAATATTATTGGCGCCTTCTCGATCCACGACCAAATGCCCTTTTTATTTATTTTCTCTTATGGATATTTACAATACGAAAGTTGTAGAATGTAAAACATAACAGCTTCTTCATTTTATTAGTATTTTTACTTTTTGAAGAATTTTAGGTTTTTTTTGGTCCAACAGATTCTCCATCCCATTCCTCAAAATAGGAATGGAAGAGAAAAGAAGAGGAGTCTTCCGGTCTTCCCCAACTCTGCAGCATTCTTCAAATTTTTGGGGAGAGTTTTGTCATAAATGTTTCACGTTCTTCAAGTCTCCAACTACTCAAAAAACGATTCAACACTATAAAATAAGGGGGCAAAAAACAAAAAGTTCATGTCTAAATCTTTATTGTTAAAGTTCATGTCAAAGATGTAGAATATGACTTTGCTTCCCCATTTTGGAGAAATTTTTGGGGAAGCTGTACGTTGGAGATGCTCAAACACCGTTATTATAATCAAATTAGAGAGATACCCATAAATGGTTATTGATCTATTTGTCCGTTATAAATAAAGTATGGTGCGAGTTCAGGGCAAAAAAATGGTTGTTTTTTTTTTCCTGAAAATGATATGATGCGGCAGTTGCATTTACATTTTTAATATATGATGAACTAAACACCATAACTTACATTGAAAATACTGAAATGTTAGTAAAGACCAGTCCATCGATAGGCTGTTATCAATATTAGTCACCTGTTTTTTTTTTTTAGAAAAAGCATGGACTACCACAAAGGTAATCCAACCAGCTAAATTAATTAATATTAATCACCTGTTGATATATCGATCATAATCGATCAGCGAGGTCATAAATTCCATCCTCTTTCCTTTTTGCACAAAACACAATGAACATATTGACAGAATAGATGACAACAATACAGCATAAAAGTTAAAGAAGGGATGACTCAAACAGAGAGCAACCAATGCATCTCTCTCTCCGGCTATCAAATACTTATCAAATCAAGTTGGTTTCGAGGTTTTATTTTCCTTTTCTTAGGTACATCAATGGCTATAGTAAAAAAAAATAGACAAGTATATATATACGCGTCTCTTCTTAGAGCTAGTAAATATATTGTTGATGATGCAGCTAGCACACATGCAAATACTCACAATTAAGATCATCAACACTAACCAATAACACGATGATCCAAATGTGTTTTAGATAAGCAACACGCTAGTTCCCGCGCTTACGCTTACACATTCCTAATCGAACAAAATAATTAAGTTGGACTTCAAAACCAAATCAACGACTATATATCTCTTTTACCACAAAATGTACGTATAGAAAATTTTAAATTCCATTTTACATGGTAGAAAGCTTCTTTTCATCTCTCAGAAATCACTAAACATGATAAAGTAAAAAAAAAAGAAAAAGAAAAATAAAGATAAAGAAATGATCAAAAAACGAATAGCCCAAATTCTCCTCAAATTTAATAAAGAACGCCATTAACAAACAAATAACTATCTTTCTTGTCAAACAACTTGATCTTAAAAGTCTTGTAATTATTACGCTACGTACGTACATGCATGATTACTTAAAACTTAGGATGATGTTGTGAACTGCAAGCTCATGTTGTAGCATAAAACATTAAAACTAACTAATAACATGATTGCAGGATAATAATTACTACCAAGCAGGAGTCTTTAATACTATATATAAAGGTTACAAACACATGTTCTAACAGTTGAGAACACACTACATATATATATATAACTGAGTAATCCACATAATTATAATCAATTATCTTTAATAAATTACCATGTCATCAACATCCTCATCTCCATCCTCCTCATGTCCATCCTCAACCTCCATCGCCGCCACCGACTCCACAATGTGCGGCGCATGCCCGCCGCCAAAGCTCCTAACATGATCCTTCAGGCTCCTCTTATGCTTAAAATCCGACCCACAAATGCAAAACCAGAGCCTCCCGCAATTCTTCTCATGGGTCCTCCAGTCCCCCCTCACAGCAAAACTCTTGCCGCACCTTCGACAGGCGAAGGGGCGGGCGCAGTGCTTGCGCTTGTAGTGGGTCTGCAGGGTTCGGAAGTCCTTGAGCGGGCGAGACCGAGGGTGGTTAATGTTGTTCTTGCATCCCTCGGCAATGCAGTAGCAAGGGAGCCGGAGGGTTGATGGGGAGGTGGGCTTTAGATTTGTTGAGAGTCGGAGGGATTCGGTGCCCTTGCGGTATTGTGACCCGTGACCCCACATGTGCATCTGCCCATTGCCGGGAAAAACAGAAGAAAGTAGTTTACGTAAAAATTTTGTAAGAGAATGATTCAACGCTTATTGACGGCAATAATTCCAACATTTCCATAGGAGAAGATAGTAATTAATGTGCTACTTTCTAAGGAACAGGTTATTTAATCTCAAGAAAAGAAAATTAACTTAGGATACGCAAGTGCAAACTCATGTAAACTATGACTAGTCATTTAAGTGCTAATTAGCATTTTTCAAGCATGATTTTTATTTTATTTTTCCATACAAAATGGTGAAAAAGATTTTGTACTGTTAAAAGTGTAGGCAGTAGAAATTCCTCTTCAAGTTGAGAGGGGGAAAAATGCAGGACATTCAAATTCCAATCATGGGGGAAAAAATTAAAGAATTTAAAATCTCATGTACAATTCAGGTTAACATGGTTATAAATCATAAAAGTTGTATTGATATATAGCATTGGGATTTCTTTTTTTTTTTTGTCAATGAAAATTAACTTTATTCATCAACCATTGAAAGAATGTTAGTACATCAAAAATATCTAGCAAAAACTGGCTGGAAAACCTGCATATTAGCTAGGGTTTAATTTGGTTACAAACACCTGCATATTGTTGAAGCGATTGAACGTCTTGCTGCAGACGGCGCAAGAGAACTGCGTAGCCCCGACGAGTATCTCGGCTGCAGAGGGGATCCAGTAGTGGCTCGGCGCTGCAGGATCATTATTAGTCCTCGCATCTGTACCTAAGTTGGCTCCTCCGTCGTCGGGTGGCCCTATCGACAGGGAAACAGTCACATTGTTTTCATCATCATTACCATCATCGTGCCGATCAACTGATTGCTTTGCCGCATACGACGACGACGACGACGAAGGAGGAGGAGTAGAGCTAGGGTTAGGGTTTTGTTGGCCTGGTGGCCAGAGAGTGAGGAGGAGTACGGAGTGATCCTCATCCTCTTCATGGTGACTAGGAGAAAGCATGATGCTTGATTGTGTGAGAAGTTGATACAAAGGGAACATAAAGGAGAGGGGACTAGGCTCCTATTTATATTAATGGATAAATTTATTGTTGCACCAAGCTTTTTTATACGAAATTTGGTGTTATCTTTAGAATGGCAATCAATGCATCGATCCTTCTAGAGAAAATATCAAGTGATCCTTGTACGTAAAACATTACACAGTAAAATTTCTCAGATTATATATGCTCTAATTAAGTGCGTGATGAATGAGGAAAATTTAGGCCTCGTTGATAACTAATCATTAAACTAGCTTAAAATATAGTTTAAATTAGTTAATTCGCGTCATATCTATCATTAGATAAAGTTACTTAGGTGGTTTAATTATCGGACAAATAGATGGATCACGGAATCATTCTCCGCTTAACTAAAAGCTAGATAAAAGAAGGTGAAATTTTAGAGAGAGAGAGAAAGAGGAGGGCATGCACGTGGAGTGAAGAGAAATAGAACGAGTTTTGGCGTGTTCAGGGGAGAGAGGGGACAAGGGGCCGGCAAAAGAGGAGATGGAACAGAGAGGGGGGGCGGGGCCCACCGACTCATGGGGACTCCCAACTCTTTTTTTTTTTCTTCTCTCTTTTCTCTCCACCTCATCCATCTTTTTCATTTTCCTTTTTTGGGATTCATCAACTTTAGTCATTCACAACTCTGTGTTTACATTCTCTCTCTATCTCTCACTCCAGCGCAGATATCTATGCAGAAGGTCCGGATCCAATGTGGCTCTGGCCTCTGCGTACAGAGATTAGCTTCATAAATAAATCACACTATTTTTACATGAATTTTGTCGACAACTGCCGTGGGGGCACTTGTTACTTGTTAAGATCGAGCTGCTATCTAGGGTCCCATTATTTTAATTTGTAGTCTTGGTATTTAAAAAAACGGGTGACACTAGGGGCACACTTCTAATCACACCCTCTCTCTCTTATTTGTTATAGTGCACCGGGTCTCACATGAGATTTTAAAAATTTAAAATCTCATATGAGACCCGGTGCACTGTAACAAATAAGAGAGGGAGTGTGGTTAGAGGTGTGGTTGGAGGTGTGCCCTTGTCATTTTCCTAAAAAAACTCACGATCAAAATGTATGAGCTATTCAATATGTTATACGTGTCATTATTTTACTAGTATTGTTATTTTACAAATATTTTTTTAGGAGAAACGTTATACTTTATTGCTAATATTTATATGTTCTTGAGATTATTTGCCAAAAATATCAAAAATAATAGTTCTTGAAAAATAAAATATTTCAAAGAAATAATATTAATTTTCCAAAATGTTATTTGTAAAATATAAGTCTTTTCCAATAGTTTTTTTTCAAAAAGTATTGTTTCTTTGGAACACATTATTTTTCCAAATATTTTTGCAATTTCAAAATTTTATTGTTTTTTCCCGAAATTTTATGAAGGGTTCTGTAAACTTCCAAAAAGATAAAAATCTCACTAAACCTCAATAAGCTTGGAAATTTCAAAAATACCCAAATTATTTTAAATATTTGCACTAAACCACCATAATTGCATTATTATTACCTAGCAATTTTTACAAGTGCCAAAAAAAACCCAATGCTAGATTAAACACTCAATTTTGAAAATTATAGATTTCTTGCCCAAATCACCTAAAAATAGCATAACAATCTTGAACAAATAAAACATTACAAGCAACCCTCTCAAAACATAAAAATTATAATAGCCAAATGAAACTACTAAAAATTGTAAACACGCCATTAAAATTCTAAAATTATAAACAAGGCCCAAAAAATTCTAAAATTCCAAAATAAATCCCTAGAAAATCTGAAATAGAAGCAAAACCTTGAAAATTACAAAATTACGAACAACCATTATGAGTTTGTTTGTAATGTTTGGATTTTTTTTCCAGGATGTTGTTTTAATTTTTGGATTGTAAAGGAGGTTGCTTGTATTTTTTTTATTTTTAGGGTTTTTTGTAATTTTTTTATTTTTTAGTGACTTGTTTGCAATTTTCAAATCTTGTCCTTTGCAGTTTTCAGATTTTAGCGAGCTGTTTGTAAATTTTAGATTTTTCAGGCGGTTTTTTATAATTTTTTGGATTTTAGAATAGGCTATTTATAACTTTTCTGTTTTTTGTGGGGCCTCATAGTAATTGTTATATATATTTTGTAATTTTTGGTCAGAGAGTAAAAGATCTGTGCACCAAAAGCGAAACCGGGAAGGGCCTAGAGGAAAAGATCAGAAGGTTATACGAAACCAGACCTTTAGATGGGCCTAAAGGAAAACATAAGCGGTCTTCTGAAAGTAGTGGGGTTATTGTCTTCAGATGTAATGTTTAATGTGGGTCCAAATGTTATTGGGCTGTGGGCCTTATACATAAGGTTTAACATAAAGCCACTTTTTTATTAAACAACAATTTCCCATAGGGCTGTTAATTGGTTTGAATGGTGCGGTTAATAGGTGACACCGAACACCAAACCGATCTATTTTTTTGGTTCGGTTCGGTTTGATTTTTCACTTATTTTTTCATAAACCAATTGTGTTCGGTGTAGTTCGGTTTGGTTTTTCTCTGGTTTATATCGGTTTTTTTCGGTTATTCTATAAAGAAAACAAGTCTAGAAAAGTAGAAAGTAGAAATGTCTCATATTACATAACCGTTTCCGAAAAGAAAAGAAAAGAAAAAATTGAAAAAGGGCATCCCACAATGCCACATAACAGTTTTCGAAAAGAAAAAAAAGCGATGAAAAACTAGAATAGCAGAAACATGTAGATGATAGATCAGCACTTCAAGTTCAGCAGCAAGCTCCTTCATGACCAACATTTGGGGAAAGGGAAAGCTACAGTACCACGTGACAGAAGGGATTTCTTCGCCGATGACGAGAGAACCCAAGATTTGGGGCCGATGGACGGGAGAACCCTAGATTTGGAGGCGATGGACGAGAGGGGACGAGACGGAGTGCGAAGGACCAAAAGCTCGTTGGGTTTGGGACTTTGGGGGCGATGGACGAGAACTCAGATTCTCAGAAGCCCTAGAAATATAATTAAAGTCTAATGTAGACTTTGTAGTAATGTTGGAACGCAGGCCAATGCCATCCTTTTTTTTGGGCTTCATTTAAGCCCAAGTTTGAAGTTTCTACATAAAATTTTATGTATATTAATAATATATATCTATAAATAATATAATTTCCTTATAATATATATAATCGGTTTTTCGGTTCGGTTTCGGTTTCCAGACATCCGAAACCAAAACCACACCAAACCTTCCGGTTTTCGGTTATTTTTTTGCGGTTTGGTGCGGTTTTTTTCTTTCCTCGGTTTTTTCGGTTATGGTTCGGTTTTGGTGTGGTTATTTTTTCGGTTATCGGTTTTCAAGTTACAGCCCTAATTTCCCATGATACTAAGGGCGTGTTTGGTTCGTAAAAAAAGAGCCTCGAAACCTATTTCCCTCTCTTGACACAGCGTCCACCTCGGACGTTTCATTTTCTTTTGTTTCTTTGTACGGTTTTAGCTCGCAGAGGGTTCTAGGGTTTGCAGCGGCGGAAAGCACCCCCACCTCAGCCAAATCGCTCGTCGCGATTTTCTCCAAAAACAAGCGAAAACCCACGAAAACCTTCCTCTAGTGTCATTTTGTCAAATCTACAATATTTTTGAGAAATTTTTGGTTGTCTAGGGTTACTGCCAAGTCCCGTCATTTCTTCTCTCTTCGCGCATCGGATCTACAAGAGCTAGGGATTTCATCAGATTTCGTCGGATTTTGTTGGATTTCGTCGGATTTTCGTTGGATTTTTTGTTGGCTTAGGGGAAATCACTGCCTTTCTTAGGGGATTTCGTCGGATTTTTGCTTGATTTGTTGAATTTCGGCAATTACATGTATAATTTCACCATGTTATTCGCTTTGTTTCTTTTTCACTACCTTTCTGATTTTTGCATGATTTTTCTTGATTTAGAATTATTTAAATGCTATGATACTAAATCAATTCAAAACCTTGGATTTTACAAACATAATGGATACTTTATAGATCAAACTAGGGCTTTTGTTGGAGGGGAAAACTAATATAGAACATGTAAGAAATATAAATATGCAAGTTTGAATATTTTTCTCGCACAGACAATGTTAGTTTTGAATTGGCAACTCATTCTTTAGTTTATGCATATGTTTTAGAATTATCAACCCTGCATTTGGATACACCGTCACACCAAAAGTGTCCTTACCCAGAAGCACACTTCCAACTGTGTGGTGTTTTTTTATCTACATAATACTTGTTTCAACTTGTGTTTGTAGGAACTTTATAAGTCACCATATACATGTCAACTAAAAAAATTGTATGTAAGCAAACCTACAATGCACCTACATTGTATTGGATGACTACTACTGTGGGTTATTAATGAAATTATTGTTATGCCATGAGTTTTAGTTGGTAACTTTTTTACTTTTAGGCTATGATGATTGTCAAATATTATGAGATTAGCAACCTGCAATGTTTATCGATATTGCATTGGATGGCTAACAATGATGATATTGACTAAGTTCTGAGCCTTAAGCCATAGAATTCATAAACACGTGGCTGGTATATTCTATGTGATATCAACAAATATTTTGTATGCAAACATTGCATTTTATAGATGTATATTGAGTGGTACATTTACTTGGTTGTTGGATGTTGAATCAGACAATATTAATTTGGATCAGTAATTTTTCTGCTGGTTTTGCCCATGGTTTTGTAGTGCTTATCGTTTTGAAACCTAACTGGTTTTGTTTCTTGTAGTACAGTCCCTAATTATCTACATGTATGGTATTCCCAGGTTTGATGCGATTTTCCATGTCATATAAATATTTATGACTAATCAGATTGATTATAGGTTTTTACAGGTCTCATAAGAAATTTTTGCTAATTTAGGTGCATCATAAATTTATGAATGATCATGTTATTACAGGCTTCGTGTGATTTTTCCTGTCAAACAAGTATTTTTCATGTCAAATCAGGTACGTAGTTCATAACAGTTAAAATAATTATATTATTACATGTTTCGTCTGATTTTTTTATGTCAATAAGATATTTATAATGAATTTGGCTATTAATTAC